CACGCGTGACCTGGCGCCATACCTCAGGCTGATCCAATGACCTGACATGGACACAGTTATCGACCATGTATTACTCTGTGCGGCGGCTATCCACCAACTAACTTAAATACTTACAACAAATAAACGGTAGGTGTTTGAATGAAGCTGTTTCTTATGCGAATGCAAATCGATTTGTCAAGTTTTATCTGCTAGGGTTGTGAAAGTGTTTGGCTGAGTAGATCACATCTCAATTTGACCTTTCTAGGCTCTGAAGAAGGCGAAACCGCCGAAACATCAGCAATTGTGTTCTAATAAATTCTATATTAACAACCTCGTGTCTGCTTATTGATGAAAAACATTGAATTATCAATTAATGCCGAGGTTAACAGAAAGTCGGTCTTGGGAATATGTACATATTGTTGGAATGATAGGGCGCTATTTTCTATGAGCATCCAAGTTCCTCAACTTCTAAACTCTTCAAGCATCCTAGTTATCGAAAATTGCCAACAGTTGTCGAAAAACCTCGCAAGGTCACAAACGAGTGCTCACAAGCCCAAGAGATTATATAGAAGGGTTTTATGAAAAACAATACAGTCTGAAATCCCTTTCTTTATTAAGGAACTAGGCAATTGCCTTAATCGATGTGCTTCCAAAGTCATTTCTAATTTTACAGAATTGTTTTTTGTCATACGATCTGTGTTGTTCCTTCTTCTGTACACGTTTTTTAACTTGATTCATTTCGTTAGGCTTTTCATAAATAAATGTTCTTTCTGTTCGTTTGAATGTAATCAGTTGAACGAATGAAATCTTAAATTACATTTTCCCTTTTGAAAATGGTCATATCTGTACAGTTCATTAGTTTATTGCTTGTTAGAGGGTAAGGTAAGTGTGCGAGTTCTACAGTAGTAGAGAACGAGATCTAGTTTCTTACGACAATGTTTCATAGTGTTTTTTCGAAAAAGTGTGATTGCCGAGGTAACAACGTAAATTGGGCTTATTCAATCCCTAACATCGTTGAGTACTTTGATGTTAGGAAATCCCAGTGGTTACTCATCACGTTAAACAAGCCATGCAAGAATCGCTTTTTTGCTGGATTGAACATGACCGTGGTCAACCAAATCTTGTTTTTGCAAACAGTGTTGCAGAGCTATCCCAGGATTCCAACAAGAATGAATTTAACCAGCATTCAACGATATTCGTGGGGAAGACAAAATCCTCAAGCCATGGCCGAACGTCGTGCGCAGACTTAAGGGCCTTCAGGATGACGGATGCAAAACAACGTAAGGGGTGAAAACAGTGCTAGGATATGCACAATATTTGATGTCAGGTCATACAAATAATTGAAAAAGATGGTAAGATACTGCAGATTTTAGGAGAAAACGTTCTATGGAACAGAAAAGTACATGGCACACCAGGTGATCTAGTTGTACGTCTTTCCAAGTTCTTTTACCATGGATGTATCCCTTTTCCCTTTTACCATCTTATTGTATTATTCGAAGAACGTTTTACAGCCAGTATTTATCACCAGTACAGGTACGATCAGCTTGTTCTGGAAATTAGCGAAGGGTTCGAAAAACTAAAAGCAAGTCCGTTTCTCTATAATGTAGCGAAAAGTCTTTAAAAGGTTAGGGTCACATGTATCGAACTGTGATATGCAATGGAGGTTCCTTCTCCCATAAAACGCATGTAGGCTCAGAAGTTCGGTACTTCTCTGCAGAAGCCCACTTACGGATAAATGAAAGCTCAAAATATTCTAACATATGTATTCTTTCTTTGATGAGCTTACACGAGGTTGAATAGCAATAGCAAGTGAATAGCAAGCGAAGACCATCGACTCGGTTCATCGGCTCTGAGGAAGACGAAGGCGTCGAAACGTTAGCCGAAAATAAACGTCATTATCAACCTCATGTAAGCTCATCAAAGAACGAATACATATCGATTAGTGATACCGAAGTTCAAGGAAAGTCGGTTTCGAGATATTCTAACATATTTTTAGGGGGCTTGTTGGTTGATTTTTTTTCTTTGTTCAGAAACGAAAGATATCTGAATTTCGTCGCTTTCTTGCTTGTAGTCTGAACCACATATCGAGAAGAACAACCAACATTTAATTTCCTCTAACAATCAAAGTATACAAATATTCGAAAAAAAAAACAGTTTAATGCTGTCGGTTGAAGAACAACAATAACTACGGATTTCTGTCAATCACGAGCAATCCGAGAGAGATCAGAGATTCACCAACGAAGCTCAAACACCAACCACCATTCGGTAGTGGTGCCCAGTGTGTGATATAGTGTGCTCATCTATGGCTCTATGGTCGGCATCCGTCTTGTTCGACAAAATTCGCATCGGTGGCGAAATGCAAATTGAATTTCGAGCCGTCAGAAATTGAGTGGAACCATCCGGCTGAGTTATAGCACATAATACCACGTGGGAACTAAAACTCTTTAGATAGACGACGATAGAATGAGAAATGGGTGAGGTTCTGGCCTAATTCTGCTTTTATGGCAAGTTTTTAATAGTCCTTAATTCGATTCAAGCTAATAAACACAAGTTTTGCTGTGGCAAAAAGATCGATAGAAATAGCTGAGAGACATGCGAAACGAAGGACCCGCATGGTGTGGTGGTGAACGCGTTACTCCCCGGAAAGGATAATAGCGCGTTCGTTCCCCACCATAGACACCTGCGGTTCAGAGTTTTGCAAATATCTCAGCAACGTTGTGGTTGTATTTCGCTTAGTAACCTGCCATGAAAATTATAGAAGGCAGAAAACAAAAACGTTAAACAAGTTTCAGATTCAAACATGTATTTATTCGGAATTTGTTGCGCACTTAAGAGTGAGACAATATATGATAACCTCTCGTTTCTATGAGAACCTTCACCAACCTGACATCGATCAGGTCCAGGACATTTGATGTTCTTAAATCGTTCCGAGTGATGGTATTTGTAGAAGATGTCTTCAAAGCATTTAGCAATCACCGGCAAATAGACGAAGCTCTTTGGCAACCTCGACAAAATGTTCGTCAGATCTGCTGTGTTGCGCATTCTGTAAACTGAACCATTTCATTGACATTATCCATAGAGGCTCATCATTCGCCAACAAGCGGACCTTTCAAAGTCGCTCTGTATCTCATCGATATGCCTCTGTTCGAGTAATGGTCGTTCATCGTCATCCTCTATTGTGTGTGGCATGAACAAATCGTACACATCCGATCGGCTTTCGCTTTCACTCGTAACCTGAAACCCATAATTCGTTGAAATCGTCCTGTTTTTTTGTAGTGATTTTCAGTAAAACAAACTCGACTTATTGTAAATGCACAGCACATAGTATACACGAAATGTCTGCTTCTATCGAATATCCGAGCTAGGAACGTGTACTTTCTGAGACTAATGAACAATATGAGTCATTTTTAAGGTCATTGAAGAACTTGCCAATTCCATATGTTTAAGGTTAGTTATGACATTTATGTAGTCGGGAACATCGAATCTGGAAATGTAAAGATGATTTAGGATTTTCATTCAAATGCGTAAGATTTGACTTTATTCAAAAGTTGAGAGAAAATCTAGGGAGTGTTGCACCCTATATTTCTTCCACTGTTTGAAATTCTATTACCTAACACTGAATTTTAGTGCTCATTGTGATAAAGAGCACTTTAGGGTGTTCAGAGGGAAGATTATCTAGTTGAAAAAGCACTGCAATGTCATTTATCCTACCCCAGCATTTGTGACCATGAAGGTTTTGGATAACTGTTAATAACTTCACGCTAACTAGAATACTTGAGACTTGAGGACTTGACACAGTTATGGAAAAGACTTTACTCTGATTGAAATATCCCGAAGTATTAATAAAAGAAGAACGTTTGAGATTTTTTATTATGAGGGTGAATTTTCAAGTTATCAGCACTGTCTTCACCGCGCGAGTATGTTGCTAGGCATCAGGCGTTCATCTTCTTGTGCAAAAACCTCCATTGAGAAAAACCTTAGTGTTTCCGCGAGACAAGTAAGAATATGCCATCACTGCCCAAGTTTTCTTTATCACTTTTCAGTGAGTTCATGGTCAGTAGTAAGTGAGAATCCCTTCCAGTAATCAGCGACATTGTATCACTAGACTGCAAACCCTTCGGACAGGACGTCTCTAATCTCTTCATCCAGGTAATCCATTCAAAACTGAATTATGATCGTGAACCTACACATAGTACTCCGATTTCTTCGGCGATACGATGTCCATCACTACACCACGAAGTTAGCGCCACGACAGCACAAAGACGACAATGTAGGGTGGCTGTTTCTTGATTTGCGCATACAAAATGGAAGCCGTCTCAACAAATGTGGGCTCTGATCTCCTCTCACAGTAGTTAATCGACTCAAGGGAGGAGATTTTCGGAAATCGAAACAAAAACGACATTCATTTATCGAAGAAAAAGTGGAACTCTCGTCACCCTCAAAGAGAGGTCTTGAGTATCATATCCATTCGGCGTCAAATTTATCGACGGCTATAAGGAGTCACCACATACAACTTTTCAGTACGATCAGCTAATAAATCGAAATTGTGTCGGTTAGAAAATCAAGTGACCCTTCTCTATGACGAAGAGTTCTTCCATATTTTTTTAGTGAATAGAGGAAAAGGAGAATGAGCTCTAGACGGGCGACGATACAAAACGAAACACTATGGGATATTCTGGTCATAGTGTTGTGTGTTACCAAAAGATTCGTGATTAAAGGACAATGCTAGAAGGGAGGAAGGACAGTTGGGAATATAATCTCTAGCGAATAGCTCAACATTTTGAGTTGTATTCGGGAAACAGGCTCTTATCGTTAACATGTGGTAGTTGCAAGATCCATAGCACTATGGTGATAGATGAAAACAAGTTCTAGATTAGAGCGTTACGTCGAGAACGATGTAAAGACACTTTGCTTAAAGAGATTTGTTATGTATAAGTGACCATAGAGGTATTTTGCCGATTTGTTAGATGATATCCCAAAAGATGTTTACTGAGCTGTACTCACTCAAATCTTAAATATTCTAGATAAAACACTTATGGGTGAACCCCGTCGCGCTCTTTCATAAATAGACGAATTGTTTGGACAGTTTTAGGACATCATAGCTTTGTTGGATCATTAACCTTTCCATGCCGCCAGCAACGGACACGGGATAGTGAATCCACGTGGTATTTATGTACCGTACGTCGACAACCAGCTTACCGGTCTCGTTGATTTCATCGAACTGAATGCTCGACAGCATTTCACTTAACGAAAGCTCACTAGCGCTCCTCGCTGAAATGGTTTTGATTTATAATGATAATTAAATGATAACCATTAGGGAAAAAGCGTTGTTTATTTCTGATTAAAACTGAAATTGTAAAGACTGAATCACAACAAGGGCATCATTTTAGCTAGTAGAACTGCTCTTCCATGTTCATGAAGCGCAATTTGATTTAGGACAGAACATTTTTACTGTGTTAAACTAAGTTCGAAGTATAGTGCTTCTATCTATCACTCATAAGCCCTTGAAGAATACAATATGAGTACTGCATTTTTTTCAGGTTCATTTCCATCGCTATCGGTTGGGTTATTCGCTTATGAGGCAGAACTGAGCACAACATGTGAACAACTTTCATTCAGAATTTCTTAAATGTGGACTTAGTAAACCTTGACTGCATAATTTTCCGATATTCTTTGTGATAACGCGAGGCGATAAAACATCACCAGAAATAACGATGCTGAGATATTCGCAAAACTTGGACCACCGGCCAGATCGAACCACGAGTTCCCTTTCCGGGAGCTCGTACATTTCACATTGCGCCACGGAGACCTCTGATCTCCGTTGCTCTCAGTAGTTTTCTATCTACCAGTGCTATCAGCAGTCACCCGTCAACGGGATTGATCTGGGGAGTCAACATTGGCATTGACAGACCAAGGGCCTCCGTGGCGCTGTGTAATGCGCGAGCTCCCGGAAAGGGAAATCATGGTTCAATCTGGCCCGGCGTCCAAGTTTTGCGAATATCTCAGCATCGTTGTGGTTGATTTCTCATGATACCTTGCCATGAAAATTGTATTTGGAAGTATATTAAAAAAGTAATCGTCAGAAATAGTTTTACTAGGAAACTTTTCTGGTCCGCAGACAAGAATTCATGAGAAGACCCAACAGTTCCAGCTCTCTTCAATTTTCTCAATTCGGAACTAAAAGATTCGGATAAACTTGTGGCGCTCGTTGCGATGTATAGTACACATGTCCGATCGATCAATAAATAGTGAAAATCAATATTTTATGTTTTACAATAGCGAAAATCAATATACTATGTTTTACGCTTTTGTTGATTCACGTCAGTATTTGAGAAGATTCGACAAAGCAAATGTGGTGTATTCCGACGTCCCTACCTGCGCTTAGCTTTGTGTTTTCTCGCAAGTAATGAATGTATGCGACATTTGGCAATGATTGAAAGAGATGAGTAAACTCGTCCAGATAGGTGTTAGACACTCTTGGAATAAGCAAATCGTCGAGATCCATGAAAGCGATATAGGAAGCGGATTCCTGAAACGGCGACTATGTCGGTTTCAATCTCAGTGAGAAGATAAATATTTTATCCACAATTCCGAAAGCACCTGTTGGACTGATTAGTAGCAAAATATGCAATCCACTTCAATATATAAGAAAAGAATGAGGTAATTATCAAAATATTTAGTATTTCCTTGTGATCTTATGGTACCAGTGTTGGCCAGGTTCACACTATAAATCACAGTTTTAATCAAATACGATTTAACATTATTGGTGGGTCTCTGGACCTAGTAGGCACCCGTTAGTTCTTTTTCCTGACATTTTCATGACCAGTGCTTATACTGCTTATTTGAACTCGTTCACCACCTAGCTAAAGGGAGTGAATCGAGCGGTGTTTACCTTGTACTGCAATAAGCAGTCTGTCTGCGCAGCAGCTTGATTTCCAAACTCTACGTTGATGTTCGGATTAAATTGCAATTCAGAGATGGTGAGCAAAGTGATTCGAATCCATGGTTGGATGCTAAGATAGCCCTAAAAAAATCCCAATTCCTTCCAAAACGTTTCATTTACTCATCAAAAATGTGTAAGCAAGAAAAAGGAAAAATATAACAGCGGATGAAATATCCAAATAAAAATAACAGAGGGGAACAGATGACAACAGATGGATCTTCTACTCACCTCATTTTCGTAGATTTTCATCAATTCATAGAGCGGAGATACCATACTCCTTACGTATAGATGCATGTGTGATCCAAATCTATAACGGGGTTTCTGTTTACCCAGCAAAATTTCATGGATCAGAACGGACTTTGGTCTTCTTAAAATTCTCTCGAAAGTTTCAGGTGTTCTCCTTAACCAATATAATTGTCATTGATGGATGTTCCATTTGTACCACATTTCAATGGTTTCTTGGTCTTTATAATTCTCTTCAGTTGTACTTTCTAGCTATAGTGTTATTACTTTTATGAGGTTTCTACAAAATTTTTAGTAGAATATCAATTATTCTAAGCGAGTGCTGCCGCCGATGTTAAAGTAAACTTGCGATAAATGCTCAAACTAAATGCTCGTTCGTAATCTGAAGTTATCCGAAAACTGAACAGGATAACGCTGAGATAAGAGTCGACGGCTCTAGATTTACACCGTCTTCACTTCGCTTTCATGATTTTTCTCCTAATGCCAAATATTGTGTAATACAGAAGGGACCGAATTGGAGCCTGCCGATTTCAACATCATTTGTGGAAAGACCAATCGCAGAGAAGATCTTCTCGTTAAGAGAATTTCTTTTGAATACCGAAGTTAACAACTGCTATAAACGAATGGAATAAACGGGAAATTCTATGCCTTTAAAATGCTCACTAACCGCCTGTATACATGAGCAGCAAGCAGGGCATGTTGCCATTGTTCATTACCAAACAGCGGTGTGATACAAGTGACGACATCATAATGTTTCGCTACCGCTGCTCGAAATGGAATCTGAAGGTGAATAAAAATAAGATTTCTGTTGTTCTGTCGCAACTCTGAAGGCTTAATCGCACCCAGGCTAATTCTTTATCGTAAGTTGAATTAACGTTTCGTTGTTGACATAAAGCATGAGGGAGAAAGCGTTCGATCTTGATCAGTCTCTGTGCGATGCGCTATGCATCCTACTCCATCAATCATTGTAAAGATAGCTCACAAGATCGACTTTCTACTAACCTCGGCATTGCGTTATAAATATCTCGCTTCCTTTTTCAGGAATTCCGAGGTTGCTATTGACGTAGTAAATTACATATCAGTGTACCCTTCCAGGCTCTAAAGAAGGAGATACTGCCGAAACGTCAGCACTGTTGTGTTGTAAGTGTTCTTTTTGTAAGAAAATCAACGTGTGATGAATAACAACCTCGCGATTGATGAAAAAAAAAACGAGATATTGTAGAGATGCTTCAATGCATATTTGGTCTATCACTTGTGGTGAACTATTAGTGCGTAAAGTCAGCGTTTGTATGCTCCCAAAACAGGCCGGTACGATTTTACTGAAAAGGAAAGAATAGGGGTTTGGATAACTCGGTGCTCTGGTGGACTCAATGACCAAGTACGTATTATAGGACACCTCTAACCTTGCCTACACGAGACCTACAACCTACACGCACTGATAATAGAAGGGAATGGGAAGCATTGAAAAGGATGTGCCTACCTCTACCAGCTTGTTGCCTACGGAAAGAGCTAGTCCTTGTGGATTGGGTAGAAGTGGAGCCGTCACGAACATTGAAATCCATCTACACACTTTGTGTGGAGTAATTCTAAAATCATGCTGGTGGGCATGCCAATAATTTGTTTCAACAACGTCTGCAAGCAGCATATACGGTAGCAGAATGGAGCGAAACAATAGAACAATGCCATTTAACGTCATCTAATCAGTAATCGTATATGTGGGAAGATTCAAAGATGATACAGGACGTCGAAATTGTTTCACAACCAGATCATGTGAGTGGTCTTCGTTCTTTTGTGTCTTAGATCCTGATTCAGCAAAATTCGTCAAAGTTCTCAATAATGAAGCGAAATTTGTCAATTTCGTCACTCATGGTACGAATTTCCCTTGAAGTACTCTTTTTCTATTAAAAGATTTTTGTGACTTAATAAGACAGCAAATTGCCTTAAGATAATCGATAAATTGTGGTCATCCTTTGGTCGGAACATAGTTGGTAAAGGTTTCTAAGCCACGCTTTCGTGATCGTAGTTTCAGGTTCACGTCTTCTGACGGCTATCCTTTCTTGTTGTGACAGTTCCTCGCGCAGTGGTAACTGGGCCATTAAAATGTGCCTTAACAATGCGAAATGGACCATAGACGGTTTAAAAGTACAAAAATAAAATTCGGTTATTTTGAAGCGCATATGAAGAAATATGAAGTCGTACGCCTGCACGAAATTTCCCTTAATTTGAATTATTTGTATGATACAGCCCGTTCTTTGTCACAGCTCATATAACAAGCGAAGCCTGCGAAAGAACTGGCTCTCCGTACAGATTCGAACCGATCACTATGGTATTTCCTGCTCCTCTATGTTGCGTAGGGTCTATTGTTACCGGTTTCATTATTTTGAGATAAAAGCTTGAATATGAGTGGATTTTTCGAATTTTCGAAACTATAACCTAAAAATGTTCCCATTGAGGCATTTTCTCCTTCTTACGTGATACTTGAATGGCATGCCCTCACTGATTGTGCGGGCCCCAGCATAATCTCCATTTTTCGGAAATTTTCTGGTTAAGCCATTATGGTTTCCTGGAGTCCCGAGGTTAGCCTGGCCAAAGTCTGCCCGAGATCCTCACCACCACAGGCAGTCGCAGGCCTTTGGATCAGAGGGAAATTTGCACGATGCGACTTTGATACCAGAACGGTGGTGGATCCTGGTATTGGCTTACTCTTAGCCAGGTTTCCTAATGGAAACGCCGGACTCCTCAGCTTGGGAGACCTTGCTAGGGGATGGATCTTCCCGCTGTACATCGTAGTCCGGCACCCAGGAATATCTTACAGCCAGGATGAGACGATAAACTATTGGGAGGGAATTTTCTTTTAGAATCATAAACTAAATGGTGTACGTATAGAAGATGGTAAGACTAGTATCGATCTGTCTTTTACCTTTGGATCGGTGCCGGAGTAATAACGTTGTTTTCACTGCTCCATCCAACAATTTCCACATTTTTCAATTCCTCCACAGCTGTGAAATCACCGGTCAGCAATAATGCGATCGAATGGTTGCCGAGGCTGAAATTGTTGAAAATCATGCTCTCCTTAGCAAAATTCTTCTGTTTTTGCATTGGTGGTACTTTTATTTCATTAATTATCCGAAGTGTATTCTTTTTCTTTGAGTCAGACAATGGTACTGATAATTCTTTTTCTTATCTAATGTAGTGTAATTAAACGTCTCAATATTACGCAGAGTGGTGCAGCCGCCACTCAAAAGTTCTGCATTTGACTTGCGCTTTTGTTTGACTTTATGGAAGCGACTGAATTCACATCTGGCCTACACGACCACTTTTGGTGGTTTAACAATTTATCAAATCAGTGTTTTCATCCTCCCAGATGAGTCTCTACTAACCTCCCGACCCGGGAGTGGTGACGGGTTGGATATGCATGATACAAAAGGTCCAACCAATGAATATGTGTGAATTGTAGGGCAACTTCAGCGACTACGATACACGGTCCATGATAGACCGAAACATCGAAATGTTTTACCCATTCTCAAGGCACAAATATACCCACAAACTTCTCCACTGTAATGGTGAGGCAGTAAACTACTGAGATCACTTTAAATTGTAGAAATCAATCATTAGCGGAGAAAAAAAAAAGATTTGACTCAGTGTTGAGAATTGGAACATTAATGATTTACATCATTTTTTAATATTATTGAAATATGACTAAGTGAATCCAAACTGAACTGAAAGGCAAATCCGCGACTACACTTTCCGATAGCTAGCGTGTTACCCAGTGCACCACTGAGGTTTTTGTCTTGCCGTTCTCTCAGCCAGCATTTTTACCTTAACGGTGCCATTAGCAATCACTCGTAAAGGGAATGCACCCGGACTCCCAAAAAGGGTAATCGCTGGTTCGAATCTACCCTGGGATCGAAATTTTGCGATTATCTCAGCATCACTGCGGTTGTGTTTCACATGATATCCTACCGTAATAAAATAGTAAACAATAAATAAAAAGGTAGGAAATGAGGGGCAAACTCCGGAAAATAATACCACTGGAATAACACGAACAGTGCTTCGACGAGGGCAAATAATTTGGATAAATTGTGTGGAAACTCAAAGTGAAACCTTCAGAAGACTAAAAACAAGGCTTTTTTGGGTTGGTTTCTCCATTAGAGCCTCAAAAATATTAAAATTCCAACATGTTTATAATCGGCAGATGTTTCTATACCTTTTCGATGTCCTGTAGTAATAGGCGGATATGAGAAACAACTCAAATGGTTCGACAATTGGTACTGTCGGAATCTCAGTGTAGAATATGTACCTGAAATGATCGGAATCACAAACACGTCAGAATCCTCTCTCTATTCTTCTTGTTCTTTTTTAAGTTTTTTTTCCCTTTAAACTTTTTTGGGAAATTAATGATCTAGTTGATATCATGAGACTACCAACTGACTTGAATCCAGTTGAAGTGTAGAGGAAAAGCACTAAAACCAGTGTTAGCAGTAGTACCACAGGAAAACTCAACGTAAACCGCAAGATAAACATATTTCTCAGTCGTCTAAAGAATGACTTTTCATTATTTTCTGTTTCAGTCAAAATGCTGGTCATTTAATTTTGGAAATGAACATGCGTCTTTGGCGGTGTCATTGATGGAAAACGTTTAACACATAACTGGTAAAGTATATTGACTTCGATGAATATGGTGAGAACATAATTGCCGCTTTCAAATTTAAACAGACATATCTAAGTGTCCACGGATATCCCTCATAGAGGGGTTTCATGCCGGTTAGGCGCGAGGCAACGTGGGTCGCCCCATGTAGCCGACAGGGAGTTAATCGAGAATCAAAAGCGATCTTGGCTCCCTGGAACGAAGCTGGAACCAAGGAATGGACTCCCTCTTTTTGCTGCGTCGATTCGACATACACCTTCTGTGTCTACGAGACAATACTAAATCAATCTTGCGTGGGTGTGTTCAGGTTTATGCAAGTTGCATTCTACGAGGGTTCAGCCAAAAGCCTGCAATGCAGTAATAGGGGTAAGGCTGTTAGGGGTCGCCTCCGGCAAATAAACTCTTCCCAGCTCCCATGTTCAGAGCTTAAAAAGCTATAGGTGGGCGTGAAAAAGCTAAGCACAGTAAAATAAACGGGCCGTGTTTCTCTGACCCCGAAAGAGTTCCAGATAAGAGAGCGTTAGGTAGGACGAATGCAGAAAGGCTGCTAAAATCTCAGGACCATTATAGGCTGTCTAAATGTCGAAGGACCAATGTGGCGATCTGTACATACTCGATCTGCACTCTCACTTGCGTCCAAGTCCTCTATAGAGCACCTGATCACACAGGAAAGAAGCGTAAGGAATTACATAATCGGACTGGCTGAAACGAGAAGACGGAACGCTTTCAGCACATTCTATGATACCGGAGAACAATTATTCTTCGGAACATGCAAAAGAAGAGGAATCGGAACCAGGACCAGAACCACCATAGACTGGGATTTAATCAATTCACTAGTTAGCCATTGGAAAGATGCCGTTCACGACAACATCGACGAAGAATACGATCACCTCATTCGACCTTTTCACGCTAGCGCTATGACAGCTGAGAGTTCGAAACTCACCAACAGACAAACTTGTTATTTTGATGAGATAGGCACAATACGATTCTGTGTGAACTCTGTGCGGTTGGTCTCCACGTGACATATTTAGTGGAAGATTCATAGAAAGCGGTGAGTGTGCAAAGACTCTGTGCTCAATGTGATTGAAATTTTGGTTCAGCATTTTCTCTGTTTCTCGCTGGAGGTGTTTTGCTGTGTAGATTGCAGTCAAGTTGACCTTTCCAAGCTCTGAGGAAGGCGAAATCCGCCAAAACGTCGGCTTGTACGCAAATAAAGGAATAAAATAACACATCATGCTTGCTGAAGAGAAGTAGAAAGAATTATTCAATCAAAGCCGAGGTTAATAGAAAGTCGAACGTGGGAGTCACCAACAGACGTCCGTCTCCAGGAACACTTGCAGTGTGGAATCGCACGAGCTACAGGGAACCGTGATCTCCCATCCGAACTTGCAAAACAGTGCAGAGAGGCGATAAAAGAAAGTCTGGGAAGGAACAGCAGCAGCTATGCTCGAAGCTGCGGAGGTTAGTAAAAGCATTCGCAAAGCCCACGAAGCTTCGCCAGTTGCAAAACGAAGATATTTGTATTCTGAGGTCCAAACGGAATAGTTTCAGCTTCTAGAAAAGCAATGGAGAAAATCACCTCACGATTACTACTTGGATCTCTTCAATAGCAACGTCCTCATGTCCTCCGTCATAGGGAAAAAGGAGGATGGAAATATCCTCCCACAGGTTTTCTTTTCTAAAATCTGACATGCTATTTCGTCGGTGAAAAACCGAACAGCACTAGGTCCAGACAGGATGGTCCGAACACTTGAGCAACTTTTCGCCAGTCCTAATAAATACATTGGCTCGGCTCTCCATACGTTACCTATCAGAACGCAAAGCTCCAATTCAATAGAATACTTAAATCAATGCAATACCACCAAGACTTTCTCATTATTCAAGAAAGGTGAGCTCCACGAGACTGACAACTAACACGCAATCTACCTACTGTACATCGTCTACAAACTCATAACTCGTATACTCGTATCGTAACCTAAACAGGACTGATAGAGCACTGGACGCAGGACACCCATATAAGCAAGCAAGGCTTCGAAAAGGATTCAGTGAGATAGACCACATCCACGCGATAAAAATTCTCACTGAGGTATCCCAAGGGTTAAATCTGTCTCACTTTCATCGATTTTGACTAAGTTGGGATAGAAGCACTCATGGAAGCCCTGGAGATTCAGAGAGTCTCTATTCAGTATGTAAAGATTTTTCGTGAAGCATATAGAAATTTCGTAAGAGAAAAATTACCATTCTGTAGCGATATTAACATCGACGTCAAAAGCGGTGTTAGGCAAGGGAATACCACCTTACTGCTACCATGAAGAATATCATGCGAACACTGGAATGGGGCAACATGGGAGTGAAAATTGATGGTCGGCAATTACACGTTCGTCTTCACCCAATTACATCTTCGCTTTGCTGATGACATCGTGTTTATAGCACCAAGCACTACTCAGACGGAACGAATACTTCGCAGCTTTCTTAGTACCTGAGGAAAGATTGGTTTACGACTCGAAATCTCACAAAACCATGTTTACGAGAAACGGATTGCTTTCATATGCTTCATTCACGCTCGAAGGCGCGAATATCTCTGAATACTCCACCAACGCTTATCTAGGTCGGGAAATCAGCATGATGAACGACTTAGCTCCTTAGTAGAGTAGGAGAAAGCGAGCGTCCTGGAAAACTTTCAAGAGCATCGAGGATGTAGCGAAGAGAACAAAGAATACCCGACTCTGCGCCCAACTTTTCGACTCCGCGTTTCTTTATGCCTTAATATATGTGTCACAAACAAGGTCGCTATGCAAGAAGGATGAAACATCACTCAGTGGTTTAGAACGCGCAACCGAAAGAACAGTGTTAGGAGTAAGGGGTCGGAAGCTCCGACCTACTTCAACGATCAAAAATTAAAGACGCCGTTCTGTACGCCAAACTGTCGAAGATAAGGTGGGCTAGAAACGCAATGCGTATGAATGACAACCGATGGACAGGAGCCGTTTGTAACTGGATTCCTCGGTATGTCAAACGTACTGCAGGAAGACTACCGACCCGATGGTTAGAGTTCTTCACCAAAACCCTAGAAGAAAGATGTGATATACGATGAGTCCCTAGAGCGAGCAGAACCCACTGCGCTACTCTAGCGTGCGAAAGAGAAATGGAAGATTTACTGAATGTATGCTCATCGAACATGGCTGTTGTTATACTTGTACGTTAAACTAAGCGCCGCCTACTGGAACTCATCCGTCAGAAGACGCTGATATAGATGCAGAACAAGCGGAGTTTAAACACGAACTCCAATATCGTCTAACCTGAGATTTTAGCGTCATTCACCGACTCTACAATCCTCCCACTTCGTCGACGGAACGCCTAGTACGTGAAGCATCGAGGGTGGTTACTACTTGCCGTTTCAGCTATTTATTGTTTTCCGTAGAGCCACAAGGTAATGTTGCTAAATCGTGCTTAGATCGTAACCACAACCATCAAAGTTTAAACACAAAAATATGAATTAACTGTTACTTAAATGTTTTTACGCAAAGGAAACAAGTTCTATATCCACATGAGGTGAACGATGAAGGCATTTATAGAACAGTACAATACAGGTATTTTCTCACTGGCACATGGAGTCGTTACTAACTCATCAATTTCACATGGTTAAGAAACTAGTTAGCGAGGAATTTAACGAAAAGCTACTGTGTGGGTGACAATAACACCGCCTTGCAAAGATTACTGGAAAATAAAATTGCACAACCGGAAGATTCAAGAGAAGAATAGCCGGAAATCTGGAACGTGGGCGGCAAAGGGTCGTTAGTGACCAACCACTGATGGCTTTCCTTGATCGCAATCGCTCGCTCTCACCTATCGCAGCCGTCATCAACTGAATGCATTCATTCTCGCCAAAACTGGACAAGATTGCCTGTCTCTCTATTTAGCACGAAATTTACTCTATATAGTTATTTGTGGGATGGACTAACCAATCCTAAGTAGAATTCATTGAGACAGTCTGTTCTGTGCATGCACGCGTGTCGGTGTGCGTATTCGTCGATATGTGTGAATGTCTCCAAGTGTTTGTATGTGTCAGTGTATGCGCTTATGTATATGTATATGTATATGTATATGTACCCAGAACCCACTGGGCTACTCTTGCAGGCAACAGAGAAAAATGAAAGATTTACTGGCGCCTGCTCAAGTCACTCGACGATCAACGGGACTACAGATGATATTGGTGATAGGTATATGTATATGTATATGTATATGTATATGTATATGTATATGTATATGTATGCGTATACGTATATGTATATGTATGTACGTATATATGTATATTTATATATGTATATGTATACGTATATGTAATGTACATGTATATATGTATATGTATATGTATATGTAATGTATGTATGTATGTATGGATGGATTCTTCATTCTGTATGTATGGATTCAACATTCTTCCTTGGAACATCGTATCTTTGTTGTTCGGCTGGGCTTCTAGCGCAGCATTATTATCTCTTCGAGGAAAAAACAAAGAACAGCGACTTTCCTTTCTAATTTATCGCATCGTTTACGTTTTTTCTACAAGCCAGAAGTATTAATGAGGCGCTGGTGGAAAGTGTTCGATATGTAACCCATTTGATTCAGCCCTATCCTCGATGCCATCTAACTTGCTATTTTGACGTCGCATGCCGGTGCAAAAACGGTACTTATAAGTGAATACAAAGCTGTGGTATGGTGGCTAGTATTTGCCGGAATATCACGAGTTTTCAACGACCGTGCAGTGACTGGGTATTTTGTCCTGCTTGTAGAGTATGACAAAGAATCATCTTGTTCAAGGACATCTGTGGCTGATAGTCCTATAAAAGAGTTGTGATATCAAAATCTAAAGCAGATT